AAGTCCGAACGACCAGTAAAACGTCTGTGCGCTTGCGGCGCGCCGCGCGCCCGTCCCACTGCTTGGATGCATCACCCTGCAGGCGCAGGAGTGAACCCGTGGAGCGCGCGCGGCAGAGCGCGCAGGTTTTTATGGGTTGGCTGCCGGGTCAATCAAGCGGCTCTGGTCGCATAGCGCAACGCTCACTACCAGTGCTTCGTGTCAATTCGCGTAACACGCCGGGGATTTCCTAACAGCTGCGCCATAGCTTTGCAGAAGCGCCGCTGAATCAAGCCTTTTTTTTGTCACGTGGGCGGCCGTCGTCTCGCCTGCCCGGGGCCATGAGTTCTTGTTTGCTTTGTGTCTCGCCCCTGTCCTTCGTACACCAGTGCTCGATGATGGAATGGACATGAAGCAAGTAGAGAAGCAGGACTCGGCAAGCAAAGCGCCGCGCAGATTCCGGAAGACTTTGAGCCTGCCCCCTTTTCGTAAGCATGAAGTAGGCGGCGAGAAAGCACAGCTCCCTTGCGCCAGGTGTATTTGAATGAGACCTTGCCTCCCAGCTGTCGGGACGCGATGATGAGCAACTTGTCTCAGGGCGTGGGTTTGGGCCTTGGCGCGGAAACGCCACGCCGCAAACCGCTGCGACGCGTGAGTTGCGAGATGTTTCATGGGCCGTTTGCTGAGCTTGTTGGAGGGCCTTTAAAGACCATACTTTGGGCAGGCATGTAGTCTTGTCATTAATAATTAAGAGCCCCTCGTGGAGTTTGGCTTGACAGCAGCCAAGCCAAGGAATATGTGGAGAGAAACCTCGGACCCCTGCCACAAATTGGTCATCGGAGCCCGCTCCGGATGGACATGGCAACGACATGCCCACCCCAAACCAATGTGATACGGCACTTCGTTCAAGAAAGCACATACTTTGATGATATGCTTGCCCCAAAATGATAGCGCGAGTTGCCCAAGGAAAACACATGTTAACATTGATTGTTTGCCGGCCCCCAATTGATAGCGCGCGCCGTTGAAGGGCGCACGCACACGCATTTTCATGATATGCCCTGCTTACACAAACAAATGGTAGAGCGCATCGCGCAAAGACACATACATGTTGATGATACTGATGATACGCCCACTACACAACATAGCGCGTGTCGTTCCACGGTACACACACGCACACATGTTAATGACACGCCCGCCACAAAGAATGTTAGTGGACGTCGTTCCAGGGGATGCTGCAACTCGGGAAGCTTGGTCTCGAAGCGCGCTGATTGCGTCATAGCTTTAGACACACAACCCAAAACCATAAAGAGCAATTGAGTGAGTGTGTAAAGTGCCAGACATGCAGAGCGCGCTCGAGTCTTGTTTCCTTGGCGCGCATGCTGGAAAGTCAGTTGAAATACAGGGGGCCCAAGCTTTGAAAGCAGAGAATGATAAAAAAGCAACTTGACAAACTTTAAACTGATTTCCGGGAAGGCCTGGGTACTAGGCAAGACAAGTGGCAAGGGGCCGATGGAATGATTGTGTGGGCTAGTTTGCATTTTAAGGTTTACCGCACGTGAGTCAGAATCCAACATCTCTTTTGAGGGGCTGAGGCAGGAAGCGGCCCGACAACTTGTGTCGGTGCATACAAGTAGCAGGTTGTACCTGCTTGGAATTATGTCATGTTTGGTCCACAAAATGTAAGCAAGAACCCTATTATGTTTGATTGGACGGGAACCATGAAGCAAGGAGTGTGTAGACAGTCTTTGCCAGGGGGGAACCAGACCTAAATAGGTGGCAAAGGGCCCTTGGACTCATGTTGCCTTGGGGAAGAAGAACAAAAACAGGCTATCCAGCTGCGTCCCTGACTGCCTGGCCACCAACCTACCGACCCAGCCATTCCCACAAGACATGCCCCCCACCTGCAACGAACAATGCGCAAGGATAGCCACTCGACATTCGATCCCTTTGCTTTTTGGAGGCCGAATGACTCTTGTGCCAGTCAAATATGTTTGAGAGGGAGCACCCCTGGTCATCAAACCCTGGGTAAATGATAGTACGGGATAGCCCCAATCCAGCCATGAGACAGGCGCGGGCAATTCTCCGCTTCAAGTTCTTTGCCAAGGGTTGGTACCAGGTTCTGCTTGTGACTGGTGTTCTTCGTGTGCCTCTGGGTCCAGGAGGTTTGAAGGTTTGGACCGTTTCCCACGCGAGTCGCCCCGGTTTTTGGCCGGGTCTAAGGTCCATAGGTGTCCTTTTGGCGTAAAATAGCTGGCCCTGCTAAATGAAGCCAATCTAAAGCAGTGCCATCTATTTCTAGTTAAACTAACCAAAAAAGGAGGCCTATGCTAAGCTCCGATTCGTTTGGATTGGGAAGGTCCGATTCGTTTGGATTGGGGGTTTTGCTGGGTCTAAGGTCCCAAAATTTGTTTGCATCGGGAGCCGAGGCATGGTGCACACGCAGCTGCAGCTGGGGGGCATTGTGCTCACCATCGCCGCCCTCTTCTGGCACAGCTGGCAGCAGCTCCATGCAGTGCTGGCGGCGCCGTGGCCAACGAGCGAGCGATCGAAACCAACGAGCAGGAAACGCGGGGAAAACGCGACGAGCGACACGGGCGGCGGGGTTTTGTTGGTTTGGACATGGGGCACAACCCATGGCGAGCCATTTTGGGGTGGATGAACATCCATTTGCCACCTATTTTGATGTTCACCGGGGGGTACAGGGGTTTTAACCCACAGCCGTTTGTGTGGGTGATGGTTCGAACACCCTGAAATTTGAGGGAATGGCCCCAAAGTGAAGCATCAAACTGGTGGTTTCCTGTCAGGGGAGTTTTAGGCTGACTCCCAAAACCTTTGGGGATTCACGTCGTCATTGCTGCTTTAACTTGTCATTGCCTCGTTTAACTTGTGAACGGCGAGTTGGACTTGGTTGCCGCCTTTTTAAACATGTCAAAGACAAACTTTAACACACGTGTGGCTCACTGTACTTGTTTCATGGCCTACTGACCTTTTTTCATGGCCGACTTAACGTTTTTTTATGCCTTCGTTGACTGTGATTGCTTGCGTGTAGCCTGTTGCTTGACCATGTCTATTTGAGAAGGGAGGGGTATTTGTTGTAAGTTGTCTTTCTCGTTTTTGGCTTCTTGGCTTTTTGTGTTTTTTTTGACTTCTGGGCTTCTTGTTTTTTTTTTCGGCTCCTTGGCTTTTGTTGCTTTGCGGCTTTTGGTGGCTTCGGCTTTTATTGGGTTTAGGCGGCTTTTGCTGGCTTTTTTAGCTTCGGCTTTTCGCATCCTCTGCTTTCCCAGTTCCTTTTCAGCAGGCGTTGGCTTCCCGCATCCTCAGTATCACCCGTTCCTCTCCGGCAAGTGTTGTTATATTTATGTTTATGTATGTAATCTATATATTCTATGTATGTATGTCTGTGTCTACGCACTTCTCGGAACATCAGGGGGGGGCCTGCTGCGCCCCCTGCGTTTGGTTTGTTGAACACTTGATCTCCTGCAACATTTGGCTCAAGGCCCTTCTATTTCAATCGTACAGTCATTCGACGCATGGTACATTGATAAAAGGCTTGCAGACCGCTTTACAGGTATAACAGTCAACACAAGCCACCAGGGACAATCCATCCTCCAATCCTCCATATTGGCATAGGACTCTCTCCGGAATAGATCCAGGGACCAAATCAACGACCTCTACTACCACAGGGTACCAGTTCCCTTCTGGGATAGGCACCCCGGCAGTGGGCTCATCCGATGGAGAAGGCTTCATGGAGGCCTATTCAAGTATGGCCAAACCATCCGGCTATACGGAGGAAACACTCAATTTATCGATGACCGCCAAGCAGCCGCCATCGTACGACGGAAAAGTCAGCTGGTTCAGGTACGAAGAACTCGTGGACGACTGGGTGACAATCACCACGGTGGAAGCACCCAAGAGAGGACCACCACTCAAAAGCAGACTCACTGGAGATGCTTACATGTACAAGGCAGTCCTCCAAAATGACCTTTTGCAAGATCCTGATGAAGGAGTCAACTATTTCCAGAACACGCTGAAGAAGTACTTTTTGAAGGGTGCGACCAACGTGTATCTGTACAGGCTCCTCAGTTTCTTCAATCATAGAAGGCAGCGCCAAGAGTTCCTCATTTTTACCTCAAAATTCGAAATCCTTCTTATGAGATTGAAGGCAGCATGGATGGACTTGATGCCCGTTTTCACGGCACAGTCCCCATCATTTCGACAGTCCGTACAGGACGCAAACGCAAGAACAATTGCTCGACATCAGCAAGCAGCTGGCGCCTCCAGTCCTGCTCAATGAGGATGATCCGACAGTCCTCAGACAGTATATCACGGGAATGCAGGACAGACAGCGGGACGCTTTCCCTTCGGGGATAATCTCAGCAGATTCAGAGTGAATTGTCAGATCAGCAGAGAGAGAGACTGACCAGTGCTATGTCACTGAGAAGCATTTCACTAGAGAACTACTCCTATGAGATGCTGAAGACGCATTACCATGAACTCTTCATCACGACCAGGACATCCATCCAAGATCCATCCATCAGACCTCAAGGAGGCAACCGAAGCAACACATTCTTCATCCTCGAAGAAGGAGAATACGAAGGAGAAGAAGGCTCCTGGGTGGAAGATGAAGATGGACTTGAAGACTTGAAGGATTCATGTCAAACAACGATGAAGAGACATTCTGGTCCTCGAAGAGAACGATGCGTTCATAGCAAGAAAAGTGTCAGGGCGGAATTTCAGATTCAAAAAGAGAAAAGGAAAAGGAAAATCAGGAAACAAAAAGGGCAGTCACCAACGAGGTGGCTTCAAACCCTTTCGAAAAAGCGGTTCTGGCGGGAAGGCCAATATGGCCAATGAAAATTATGATCCCTACGACCAGGCATATTGGGGAAAAGGCAAAGGAAAGAAGGGAAAGAAAGGGAAATCAAAATTCCAATATCCCTATGATGGAAACAAGGGTTATCCATCCTATGAGAATGGCAAAGGAAAGGGCGGACATGACAAAGGAAAATCCAAGACGTTCGCAGCCATCGCAGAGAAGTCGGAGGAGCATCCTGCCACACAGCCAGTTGCTGAACTCCAAGAGCCTGCCTATGCCGGTTGGACAGACCAAGATTGGGATCAATCATGGACATGGAACGAACAAGGCTGGCACTCATCCCATGAGACATCCAGCACAGGACAAGCGCTAATGGCATTCCATGACGCATATGAGCATCATGAGAAAGACACATACCCTCCTAACCCCGACAAGGAATTTTCCTAACCCCTGAAACAGAATACTCCTGACCCCGAAAGGGTCTGTCTTGAAATTTGGGCTTCAACCACGAAACAGCCCAGACCACGAAATCCCGAAATTCCCTTTGAGTGGGTGGATTCCCTTTGAGTGGGTGGATTCCCTTTGAGTGGGTGGGAGGGCTTTTGCACCTTTTGGGTCACTTTGCACCTTTTGGTTCACTCGGCCCAGCGTGTGCGGCTGCCATGGCTTTAGCCTGTGCCGCGTGGCCCTGGCCCGGCAGGCCTGGGCAGACTGTGTCTTTCAATCTGGAGCCCCAGTTTTCAAGCCCCAGTTTTTAATGAGGTCTGGGGTTTATCTCTTTTGGACATCCAAGAAGATTCAACAAGGCAGCTCCTTGTTTTTGGGCAATTGCCGGCTTCATTCTTTGCAGTATTGGAAATCCGAGCAGAGGTTCTATCCAGCATGCGTTTCACCTCAAATTGGGTCGGGAAGACTACCGGGAAGACTACCAGAAGACGATGGGAAGACTGCGGGAGACTGTGGGAAGACTACCAGAAGACGACGGGAAGACTGCGGGAAGACACTGCCGCAAGACTATGGGAAGACACTGCCCCAACACTCCGGGAAGACTACGGGAAGACTGCAGGAAGACTGCCGGAACACTACGGGAAGACTACTGAAGACGTCGGAAGACGACCGGCAAGAAGGCTACCGGAAACGGACGTGGTTTTTGGGGCTATTAGTCTGCTAAGCGGGTCCGAAACCGCGTTCGTTTGCACGATAGTACTGCGGGAAGACTACCGCAAGACTACGGGAGACTACCATTACCTCCACGTCCGTTTGAGGGCCACAGGAAGACCGCCGGAACACTACGGGAACCATCGAAGACGACGGGAGACTTTCGGAAGACGCCGGAAAGAAGGCCCAAGCGGGTCCGAAGCCGCGTCCGTTTGCACGAAAATTTTGCGAGAAGACCACCGGAAAACTACGGGAGACTACCGGAAGAGCACGGGAAGACTATCGGAAAACTCGCAAGACTACGGCCGCCGGAACACTGCGGGAACACTGCCGAAGACGACGGGCGACTACCTCCCGTTTGCGCGAAAGTAGTTCGGCGCCCTGAGAGAAGAAAAGTTGCCCTGTCCAGAAGCCAGCCAGGAAGATGTAGTGTAGCGGTCCCGCGCTCTTCTTTAATGATTGCTTTTTTGCTTGGGCTCTTCCGGTAGTCTTCCCGTAGCACTACCGAGGACGTCGGAAGGACCGGAAAGAAGGCCGCTGCACCACCGAAGACGACGGGAGACTTTCGGAAGACGCCGGAAAGAAGGCCCAAGCGGGTCCGAAGCCGTTTGCGAGAAGACCACCGGAAAACTACGGGAGACTACCAGAAGAGCACGGGAAGACTATCGGAAAACTCGCAAGACTACGGCCGCCGGAACAGCCGAAGACGACGGGCGACTACCTCCCGTTTGCACGAAAGTACTTCGGCGCCCTGAGAGAAGAAAAGTTGCCCTGTCCAGAAGCCAGCCAGGAAGATGTAGTGTAGTGGTCTCGCGCTCTTCTTTAATGATTGGTGATGGGTTCGAGTCCTGCAGTCCCCTCTTCCGGCAGTCTTCCCGTAGCACTACCGAGGCGTCGGAAGACGACCGGAAAGAAGCCCACTGCACCACCGAAGACGACGGGAGACTTTCGGAAGACGCCGGAAAGAAGGCCCAAGCGGGTCCGAAGCCGTTTACGAGAAGACCACCGGAAAACTACGGGAGACTACCGGAAGAGCACGGGAAGACCATACGAAAACTCGCAAGACTACGGCCGCCGGAACACTGCGGGAACACTGCCGAAGACGACGGGCGACTACCTCCCGTTTGCACCAAAGCAGTTCTTGTTAGTTCGAGGCCCGGCCTTGTTCGCTGCTCCATCTCGCCTTTGGCAGGCCAAGTAGGGTGAGCGATTTTTTTACGGCCAGTTTTGTTGGAAAAGGAGCGCGTTTCCATGTTTCCGGGCCGCAAAAATACAGGCTCAGGCTGAGCCATCAATCTTTCCGTGGTGACCCGGCTTGTGTGCTGTGTTTGTCGGGATCCATTCTGCGAAGGGACTCTGACAGGGGGGACAAGTGCTTTGACAAAACCCAAAGGCAAGGTTTTGCCCACACCTTGCTCTGGGCAGGACGCCCCTCCCTCTTTCCAAGAACCCTCCTGTTTGAAGTGCGCAGCAAGGATCTACCTTTTGAGCATATGTAGCACACCCCATTGCCACTTCACCAGAAGGAGCCGAAGCCGAAGAGTCAC